GTGTAAGGAGGCAGTAAAAGTTGGCGGAGCGTTAGGGGGGCGATAACATGCCGCAAAAATGAATTTCTGGTGCGCCACCTCAACACACGATAAGATAATTTCAATATCGGTTTCAACAGCAACCTGGTAAGAATCGTGTGCATTCAAAACAGCAAGCATAACGCCACCGCCTTGGCGAAGGGTACGGTCACAACGGTAAATTGTGTAGCGGGACGCATCGTAAAAAAATTCCGTGTTCCGAATGTTATTATTCAGCCAAGTTTCGGTTAACGCGATAACATTAGGTCTGCACGTGTCTACAATAGAGTTAAAAGAGTCAAGTTTATTAAGCACACTCCTGACGTTCGCAAGAAGTACAGATAAGCGTGACGGGGGCGGCAATCGCCCACATCCCCTCGCGTTTTCCTATCGTGTCTCTAGGTTTGCTGTTTGCGTAGCGTCTAGGCCGTTATTTTGCGATGCTTTGCGTTGATGCGTTTCAGGGTGGGGAAAGTTACTCGTTTCTGTTACAGTATCGGTTAAAGAGTCATATACGTAGCATTGTTGGTTGACATACAGTTTCGTGTAGCGCAATTTGAATTTCGGGGATCCAGGTAGACCCTTAGCGAATGCAGACAGTTTCCTTCGTGCCTCACGAGTCGCAGGCGAAAAGTCTTCGGATACCGAAATACCGGATTCTTTAAGTTTAGCGCGCGCTGATAATACCTTATCTCGGGTTTTAAAGGAACAAAATTTCATTATAATGGGGCGGGGTTTGGATGCAGATAGCGCCCCTATACGGTGAGCTCTTTCAACGTCTGAGGGGGGTATTTCGACGCCAAGTGCGGAGTGTAACGCGGCAAGTGCTTTCTCCTCCGTATCGTTCCACGTTTCTTTCGAATCTGATATACCATGAATAACGACGTTATTTCGTCTGGAGCGATCCTCTAAGTCATCCAATCGTGTCTGTAACATCTCTTGTTGGGACGTCAGATGGGCGGTGGAGCTCCTAATTGACACGATATCTTCCTGAAGTGCATTTAGGGCTTTCGATTCATGCTCCAAGGTTTCAAGGCGGGTGAATATATCTGAGAGACTAGTTTTTATAGTCTTTTATAGTATTGTTCAAACATGTCTTTGTTAAGACTACAACATGGGAGCTGTATGTAATCAACAATAATTCTAAATTGGTGGCTTTATTTACAATGCTTCATTCATTCAGTGAAACAATTATTAGCTATGAGCGTGCCGTCCCAGATGGTTTTATGCCACTTGCATCTTTAAATTTTTGCACACTCGAGCTATAATGAGGGGAAGTAGCAGAGCCGTGGTTACATTCTTTTTTATCTTTTTGTTACTTGCACTGACTACGGATGTTTCGCTTCTGATCCCACTGATAAAGCTCATCGTTCACTTCCAGCTTGTTGTGAATAAACTCCACTTTTGCTCCCTTAGCCTTCTCGGTTTCACAGCTTTGCCATAACATTTTCCTAGCGTAAACGGTTTTCTTTGCATAATCATTCCTGATATTAATGGTAGTCCCCTTCAACTTTCTGCAGTTTAGCACGGTTTCTTTACACAGTGATTGTAAAAATTTATGATGACCGGTCTTGAGCTGTTAGGTTTTCGCTTGCCAAGTCGGTGAATCCGGTCAACAAATTTGACTTTAATACCCAATTTCGCATCAAAAAGTTCATGAAGAACAGCTTACGTCAGCTCTGACTCGGTGTCACCAGAATCTTCAGGTAGACAGAAAACGAGTAGATTATTAAGTCTACTCCTGTTTTCGTAATCAGTTCAAGCTTCATAATAATTCGACCAGATTTGGGAGGGGGGCGCTTTCTCGATCCCGGACTAGTCATTGGCACTTATTTCATATATCCCGAAAAAGGGCGGGAGGGGGGCACTTGCAAGAGTGGGGGTGCTTGCTTGGCATTTTACAGTACCTTCTTTCCTGTCCTCAAGATAAATAAGTTGTGTATGCCGTAGTTACATGTTCCTTAGGTTTCTTTATTTGTTGTTGCATGACTTTTTTCATTATTGTAAAACTATACATTTTGTACACCTTGTCTGAAACCGCATTTGTATGTATAAACAGTGTATAATGTTATTTATGCTTGTCCATGCTCCCAGTGTGCATTAAAGTGCTAGGGTACTATCAAGCATAGGACAACTGTCTTTTCCCCTTATATTGAAAACATGCTTAAATTGTAGTTGTGGACTAGTTGGTTGGTCATATTTACGATAAACAGCAGTGCACACAAAGAAAGGACACCAACAGGAAAAGTACAACAGAAGCACTGAACTTTAACTGATCTTTATTGGCGACCACATTTGCTTAAAAGCACCTTTATGCGCATGTGTAGATCAGATTGATTAGAGCAAAATTTAAAGACTATCTCAAGAGCAACGAAACCCAGAAGCCAAAATCAATGCAATGCAAACCTAAAAACTTTCTGTTATTTGATGATAGCATGACCGATGGGCAGCTAATGCAGTCTTCCTTCCTTCTGAAAATTTCTGCTGCTTGTTAAAAAATTTCCAAAAAGAAGGACATCTGCATCAGCTGCCCATCGGTCACTCTATCATCAAAAGAAAGGAGGTTTCTAGGTTTTAACACGTGATGTGGTTTGATTTTGTGGTGTTGGTTTAGGTTTCACTATTTTGATTCCTCCTGATCTTGCATTGTGAATTGATTGTGCTTACTGTTGCTCTTGAGATTGTGTTTAGATTTTGCTTTGGTATGCATGCGCATGAAAATGCTCTTTAGCAAATGTGGTTGTCAATAAAGATCGGGTGAAATTCAGTGTTTGTGTCATCCTTTTCGTGTTTGTGTCTTTTCCTGGTGTGCGCTGCTGTTAATCGTAAATCTAAGACATGTTTGTCTGAAGTAAAGAGCTGAATATGAATGACGAATGCATTTTTGACATGCGTGCTCGCTTTATGCATTTCACTTAAAAAGCGACATGTCATTTTTTAAATAACCCTAACTACAAGTGTGCTGCCGTCCGTGTCAGTTGTTCCTCTGTTCCATAACTTAAGTGTTGCTTCATACTGTGTACACTCATGTATAAGTTACATTTTTTTTCATCAAATCTTGCTCCTGTGTGGGTTATACACGTATCGAGCCTAGGGCTACAAATTAACACACTGTAGCGCCGCTGCGACTACAGTGGTGGATAATTAAGAAAAGTAGTTACAAGAATAAACATTTTATTACACTATTCAATGTCTAATCTGGACAAGCGTACGCCATTGGCGTGCTCATTTCATCGGTGTACTTCCAGAGCTGATCGTCTTCTTCCACATGACGTTAGAGTGTTGTGCCGCACGGTACACAACACACTCCACAAGCAGTTCACACAATCCCCAAAAATGCACCGAATCGCCTTCGAGATTTGCGCATAGCAAGCATGCTACTGCATGCCATCTCAAAGGCCATAATTCTGCTACATTCTAGATTTTCCAAATTTGTGCATCTGAATGTGGGAATGTGTATGGTATATACAAAGGTGGCTTATACATGAGTATACACGGTATTTATCATGATCATAAAAAGACTGCTTGTAAGCAATACCAATTTTAATGCCTAAACATTACGACAGTGGTAACTAGCAAGGAGGACTCCATTCAGAAGGAAACTGATGCCTAGCACAAAGAAAGACTCAGCACATGTTACTTGCATTTCTTCTAGACAGACTTTAAAGCTATTTGGTCAGTAGTCACACAGTACTCTTCAATGTCAACTCAAGCATGATGTATTAGCATACATGAACCACCACACAACAAATGAAAGGAGTATTAACCTTGTCATACTGTTCAAGCTTGCAATTGTAATGTATCAGTCAATCCACAGTGAACACAACACAGCTTTGGATTCATGCAAACCAAACAGCAGCACATTTCATGACATTCAACATGTTAATACAAGGCTGAAGTTGAACTCTGCAAGTCATAGAATGCTGAGTACTCAGTAAGATGAGAAGCAGTAGGAAGGAACTCGTAGGTTGCCTCGAAAAGCAATGTAGAAAATGAGACTGAATGTTACTTAGAAAAATGGAAAAGAAAAAAGGCTGGTGGCATATCTTACACATGAGAATGTCGGGATATGATGACACCAGATAGGCTTAGTTCTCAAAGAGCTAGAACATCCAAAGCAGCGCTCCATCTGTCACAGTGGCTCATGTGGCAATAAAACTCTTATGTAAATAGCAGTTTCTTATTTTTTAATATTACACAAGAACATGCTTTATTTAGTTATAATGATTTTTGCTTGGATGCACAGTTATATTAGGTGCAAATAGTATCAGTGCTACACTAACTGAATGGCCAACAACAAACTCTTCGCCCAGTCTGATAGTTTGGTGTCTGTTCTATTTTTATTGTGATAGGAATTATATGAACAGTCTCGGCTGGTTTTTGGTATTGCCGGAGCCGCCGTCATTCAAGTGTATGTATGTATGTATGTATGTATGTATGTATGTGTGTGTGTGTGTGTGTGTGTGTGTGTGTGTATATATATATATATATATATATATATATATATATATATATATATATATATATATATATATATATATATATATATATATATATATATATATATATATCGAACAGAGGGGGGGCTTCTCGTTACTGCACTATCGCAGCAACGATCGGAGCGCGGCTTGTGCCCACACAGCAGATAGGAGATTCTATGGGCTGCGCTCTCAACATGAAGAAACGGTGCCAAAAGTGTACCTGGAGCGGCCGTGTTCTCTTACACCAGTGTTTTGTAAAGTTACTACTGTGGCCGCTCTACAGGAAACTTGGTTACTTAGCAAGTGCATGTTTACTACATTTAATATTGCTCCTAAAATGCTAACCTTGCTTCGTAAAACATTCGAATATGTTGTTATCGCATTCATTGCTTCGCCCTTTTGGCGAAACTGTGACTTTTTTTCCCACCACATTACTATGCATATCATGAGAGAAAACTGTTAATGAATGTAATACAAATAAATAAATGCTTACTACAAAAGTTTTCTTTGAAGAAAGTTAGCTTTATTCGTGCACCCATCTTATAAGTCAAGCCTCACTAAACACCAGCCAACACAAGAATCACACATTGCACCGTCATTCACATGTCAGCACAGCACCCATTAGAAAACTGCATAGACAGTAGCGCCAGAGTTCTCTATAAGAAGTATTGCAACAAATAGCACAGCTTCTACTATACTGGCTGCTTTGAAAGCATACAACAGAAAGCATCAGCATAGTTCTTGAGTTCCACTACATGAAGCAACAGATAATAATTGCATAAAAAAATCTAGAGAGAAAGCAAGAAGAGGAAGGGCAGGGAGGTTAACCAGACGAGTTTTTGGTTACCTATTTGCTTTCTCATTTAGTTACATGATGACACATACTGCTGCTTGAGAATTATAGCCAATGAGTTGGAAAGGTATATCTACTTAAAGCGAATTCTTAGCATCGTGTGGGCTTTAGTATGCGTGCGGTCAAGAGTGCAGAGAAAACTTAGTGTTCGACTTTTTAACAGAGCAGTGTTTTGTGACCAGCCATGGTAACTTGGTGGCTAAAATGTTTTACTGCTAAGCAGAATAAGGCAGAGTCATTTCCTGGCTATGGTGGCAGTATTTCTATGAGAGTGAAGAGCTAAAAACACCCTTGTACTTAGATTCAGGCACCTGTAAAAAAAACCCAGCTGGTAAAAATTGTTACAGAGTGTCCTACAGTGGGATGCTTTATTGTCATATGAAGGTGTTTGCTTGTAAAATCCCAGAATTTAATTTATCACAAAAACTCAAGTCAGCGCCACTACCCTAGCAAGTGCCCCCTTCTCTTTTTGTGGAAAATTTGAAATATGTGTCAATGATTGAGTAACCATTCCCTTTCCCAAAATTTCTTCACAATCCTACAGCAGTGGTTCCTAGGCACCAAACTCCTGACAGTTTTTAGGGATCTGTATGGGCGTCAGCAGGGGGGTGCAAAATGGACACTTACCCCCCTCACCCCCTTAACCATCACCAGCACTTGCCCTCACCCAAGCTTCACAAGTGATTTTCCCCTCCCCCAGCTACAATTCAACAATGGTCTGCACCCGCCAAGAAAAAAATACTCCCTACGAACATGCATATGTGCACTTAACTACTTTTACAGTGGGGTGCCTCATGGTTAAATACGGAGTTGTCAAAAATTGTTGGTACATTTGAAAAATCTCTTTCTGCCATTGTTATAACACAAGAAATTTCACCCAAGGATTCCCTCCGGTTCAGTAAAACGAGTATGTGCATGCATATTAAATAAAGCATAGAGCTTGATACAATAACACCTAGAGGGGAATCTGGCACTAGTGTCTACGTGGGCTCCTTCAGCAGCACTGGTAACCTCGAGGGAATTATGGGAACTTCGGATCTGCTTCAGATGAATTACGTTCTTGAGATTTGTGACACTCGTTTACTGAGTGTAAAACAAAGTGATATGAAGTTATATATAATTTAAACTTGCTTCATTCTTTTGTACATAAACATTTTTACAAAACATTTCTGTGACCATGAGGTAGAAGTGAAACCTAGTCACATTTAACCACCAGGGTGCGCATTGCTATACCATTGTGTTGCAGATTTGGCATCAAGATATAATGAATTATTTTTTACAACACTTGAAAACAAACATTCTTGTTTTGCCCTCGAAAGTACGCCTTATCTATTTATGAAAATAACAGTACAGTATTAAGTGAGTTACACTTAACGTTTCGTCTGCTGCGATGCCAGGTGTGTCTGTCCTAGTGGTCTGCCCCCAACACGCACCTTTCGTTTCGTTGTAAAGTCGAGCCAGAGGACCGCGACGGTGAGTCTACTTAGGGTTGCCATTGTTTTGCAGCTAATTTAAACGAGTTTTGGCAAGACATGCTTACAAAAAAACATGAAGTCGATGTAATATTCTGTACTGGCATCAGACGCTACATCTATGAGCAGTGGTAAGTGGACGACACTTCGCTTAAATTGTCAAATACGACTTGTAAAGCTCCAAAGCCATGTTTAATCTCAGACTTAGTGATCTTCAGTCTTGAACAACAAAGGCGCTGCTTCAGTGTTTTGCATCGCACCCCACTACCCATGCTGTGAGAATAACAAAACTTAAACTGTAAAAAAAGATTCGTAGACAGTTCACTAGCTGACGCAATTCAATCCGAAGCCTGTACTTCCCATAATTTGCATCAGGGTACACAATCGCAGCACCAGATTCCTCTCTAGGTATCATTGTATGAAACTCTATGAAATAAAGTATTTCATTAGAAGCACAAGTAAGCATTCTTGTCACAAGCTGTAATTTGCCACCTTGACTTCTGCTTCGCTACTAAGCGAACCCCCGCCCCCCCATTTTTCTCTAAATCTTCTCTGATTATCTTTTGCCACAAAGGGCGAGGAAAAGGGGATTGCTTGGGATTTTATGGTAAGCATAAGGTTTCATGTTTTGCAGCACAAATATTAGTAGAATGACCATGTATTTTGTTGCATGTTATGGACATGAGTATGCAGAAAGTAACATCATCATAAAAATTTTCTTCCTGTGGATAAATTTTTATAACTCTTTGGCAACAAGTTGAAGCATTCTGGTTAAACTAGCACACAACTTTGGACAGAATAGTGAAGTTGATGCAGAAAGATACTGCAAGACTGTCCTGCACAAATCTCTATGCTTGTAAAAACGGCAAGTACTACGCAAAACTATCCAAGGAACATGTTCTACTGATTTGTAACTGGCAACATCTGCCAGAAACTAAATGTTTTAAAAAGTTCATCAGTGATTTTTGTAACTAGCCAATGATACACTTCAGTTTCATGCAAGTAATGTTCACCATTTCAAGTAAATGAACTGAATAACTATATGACATATACTAAAAACGTTCACTACCTGGCTGGCTGCCACTTTCATTCTAGATGTATTTTCTCAGTATACGTCATTATGACCTCTCCTATGACTACTATCAGTTGATAATTGTGCAATATTAGTTACCTGATAAGTTTTAGAAGTACATGAACACCGAAATTTACAAACAAAAGATTCATACATGACTGTGGAACATTTTGCTTATTTCTTGGGAGCCATTCAACGTAAGGGCAATAATTGACAGAATGAAATGCAAGAATGGAAGCCCTTGAAAAACAGTGATCATCTATTTGTTTGCCTGTACTTTGATATTTCCCAGCTCAGCAATTGAACGCTTTTCTTCACCAGTCTTTATAGAGTTGTTTTTGTACTTATTTCTGTGGTTTACAAAGAGATGTGTAATAAAACTGGTAGCATAAGCAGCATCTTTCAAAGGCAGTATGCTTTGCAAGATTCATGTGAATTGCAGAGTAAACTGAATTACTGCGCTAAAAAGCAATGCAAGGAGTACTGCACAATGGGAGAGCATCCCATTTTTTTTAAATCGAAGCTGTCACTAGGGCATTTACACAAACATAATGCAAACACGGTTACAAGGAGAGTCAGTGCTGTTTGATGGTGGAATGTTTTCAATTGAACAAAAATTTACAAATACTACTGAAGTACTCATGTGCACAATGTTTGCAACAATTAACATAGAGCTAAATATTTCAGTATCTTGTAGTGTAGCAGCTTATAAGCACAGAAAAAATAAGATGTTTTACACTGTTTTGCAGTGTACATGCAAATAATTCTTTTGCGATTTCCAAGCACTACAGAAATAGAGCAATACAAACTGGACAATGCAAAAACTATATGCAAGTTAAATTTTGAGGACTTTATAAACTAGGTCAAGACTGACAGTTGTCTGTAGTCGTGCTAGCAATGCTTTGGACATATACAAACAAGCCAAGCCTTAAGTACAATTAAAATTTTTTTGAACATCAAGTTGTGGATTATTTAAAGAAAAAAAATGAAAGAACAGCTAAGCCCTATTTCTAGTTGGTTTCTTTCGCTTGAGCAGGTAGTAGTTGACATATGAGCACTGCCATTCTGTCACAAACGGCACATAAAAGGTTCTTGCATAAATTGGAGATCTCTTGCTGTCTAAAAACTTGACAAAGGTGACAACCTCCCACTCTGGACTGGATGAGTAGTCGGGCTCACGATCAGTCACATCGTGACCATCTGTGTCAACAAGGTAGTCACACAGGTTTGGACTTATATAGCGAGATCGTTCTTCCTTATTGGCATCATTCATATCCGTTGGTATGATGCGTGTTGCATTAGTACTAGATGGGTAGGGCTTAGGAAGCTGCCCTCGAAACTCTGACTCGATGAAGGAGAGTTCCCAGTTTTTAGGCAAAAAGAAAGATGAGGGAAATCGATACCATTCTTTCCCCACACAAAGTGTTGATGGGGAAATGTCATCCTGGTTGTCAGCACCAATGCTTGCAAGTGGCCCAAGCTCCATATATATCTCCATGGGTGCTCTGAAATGAGTATCAGATTGCAAAAAATTAGGAAACAGTTTTACACCAATGCTCGAAAATAGTTAAAAAGTTGCATTCCAAAGCAAGAAGAAAAACTCACAGTGCACATCACTTTCTGACAATGCCTTGCACATTAAGAAGCAATGCCCCGAGAATTTCCTACCAGAGGAGTAGGCAAAAAAAATAATTTTTTGAAAGCTTTCCATCATTTTGTTTCATTCAAGATGACAGAGTGCTGCATATTCATTGTCAAGGAAGGGTGCACAAATTAGTAAGGGCATCTGTGTAGTACATAGTAGGTGGTTGCAAGCATGTGTGTTCAGATATGATCATGATGAGGTAAAGTGGGGCTTCCCACAATTTGTTAAGTAGTTGCTTTTCGTTTTCATGGCTCTGCAGTGTGAGTGCAACCAAAGCCGTTAAATAGCCCTTACTGTTCTGGCCGCTAGATGACATCAGAAATCTTGGCTCTCAAGTGCCAATTAGGAAGTGCGTTGCTGCTGCAGTTTTAAAATCAGTTTATTATTAGAGGAAATTGAATATTGCATTGTCATGCTATTAGAAAATGAGCTTTGCTGCTGACTTACACCCCATGGGCACTTTCGGTTTAGCCCAATTAACATCGAAATTCTTGCTTGATTTTTATTTATGAGCATGAGCTCTGGAAGGAGCTTCACCAAAATCAATTTAACCAATATTAGACTGGCTTAAGCATCTCGTGGGAACGGGGCAATTAAGGCTACCTTTTAACTAGTGCTTACTAGTGGTATTCTTGCAACGCTTTCTACATGCCACAAGCGCAGCTGTAGTATAGAATTTATGGCATCTACATCTTCTCTATGTGGGTGTTCTGTTTACACGACAAGAATTGTGACATTGCTAGTGCATCATTTCCCATTGATTGATATGTGGGTTTTAACGTCCCAAAACCACCATATGATTATGAGAGACGCTGTAGTGGAGGGCTCCGGAAATTTCGACCACCAGGGGTTCTTTAACGTGCACCCAAATCTGAGCACATGGGCCTACAACATTTCCGCCTCCATCGGAAATGCAGCCGCCGCAGCCGGGATTCGAACCCGCGACCTGCGGGTCAGCAGCAGAGTACCTAAGCTGGGAAATGGTGCACCCCGGCGGGGCTGCACCATTTCCCAGCTTTCATAGGTGCCTGAACACTAAAAGCCCTGACCATGTTAGCATTTCTTTTTAAGACTCAGTGAATACATATTTTTTAATGCTTTCACAGTGCATTCATGTAAACAATGCCTAAGAAAGTAAATGCGTGCACAATTTGGTTTCAGGCCCCACTGGGGGAAAGTTTTTTTTTTTTTTAATTTTAACCATTTAAAATATATATGTCATAACATATGGCAGTTAAAAGCTATAAATTATGTCTCCTATGCTTTCCCTGGCACAATTGTCAGTTCGATTCACTTGGTCGTGTATTAACTAAGAAACGAGCCCCTTGAACTTTTCTCCTTCTTTTGCACAATACATGGTCTTTTGAGACTATAGTGTTGTTATCAGTAAATGTTCCAGTCATTCTGATGTGAGTTAATTTAGCAGTGACAAATATTCTAAAGAAAAACTAAAAATTAATGGCTTATTGCACAATGCAGACATTGTTACCATTAAAATTCTACTACTGCTATTTGAAGAAAAAACGTAATGTCTGAGCATTCACTAACAGCGCACAGTGAGTGGATGTAGTGAATAAATAATTTGAAAGATAACCACTTGGGCCAAGTCGAACCTGAAATTTCGATAGAGGGCCACCGTCCTGGAAACAGACAGCAACGTGGTAGCAGTCAGAAATATGAGCCAGACATGCTGGGCCAGAACAGATGTGACGCGGTGTGCAATGCCTGTCAGTGCGCGCGAACAGTGGCTGGTCAAAGACTCGAGCACACTGACACAGATAGCCGCACACAGGCAGATGAGTGGGTACACGGGGAACAGGAAGCGCTCCTCCTTGTGTGCTTGGCTGAAGAAAATCGCGCACCATAGATAGAGTGGCGCCAACTCCAGCAGGTAATCCTGTTTCGAAACACCTTGTTTCGTCAACTTGGCCCGCAACAACACTGCCGGACCGGAGGCCAGAGCGGCGGCAAAGGCGAAGTTAAAGTTGAGCAGGCCGTTCTTAAAGTAGAACGACCACGGCTCGACCCCGTACAAGTTGGCGCCGTGCTTGCTGAAAACGTTGTACATAACAATGTTGAGTGGCGCCAGCACAGTGCGGCCGTAGTAGTGCGAGTCGATGGCCATCAGCACAGGCAGAATGAAAGCGAGCGAACTCACGCAGGAAATCAAAATCGGGTGAAGCTTGCGCTTGACGAAAGCTATGTCGTAAGCAGCCGGCAAGCTAAGCGCTGCCGAAAACGGCCATCCCACAAGAGCGCCTACGGCAGTGGCGAACACTGTTACACGGTGGTCGCCAAGGAACCATCCTCCAAACGCAACCATCGTGCAATACATGGAAAATGAGCTCGGCAGGTACGCGGTGCAAGAGACAAACATGCCGGTACTGAATAGAAGCAGGACTAGCGTCGAGCGTGCAACTACCGGTCCGAACCGCTTGAGCACACCTTTATAGAAATAGACTTCGCAGAGGGCACAGACAAAGCCTAAGATGCAGCGCATGAAGTAAAACACGAGAACTCGGTTTGACTGAAGCAGGTTGCTGTAGACAAGGCCCGGAAGCGCGTGGATCCACAGGTACGCATACGATCGGATAGCGTACTGAGGAGAATATTCCCAGGTTTGAAGACCCTTGCCATACATCAGGTAGTGCGTAGGTTCCCAATAGTTGAAGGTCTCGTCACAATCAGCGATGTTGTTCCACACTGCTGCACACAGTCGAGCGGACAAAATTGCCTTGAAAGCAGTGTAGGGGAGAGGTGCCCATGGACCAAGTTCATTATCATTTGCGGGTGGTGGCCTGGGCTTGGTTACTAGCTGAAGCTTTCTGGGGTGGTCTCTCAGTTCTTTGCGACGCTGGCGCACCATCGCTATAATCGATGACTGCGAGCTTGTTCAGCTCGCTTACTCCACTTCACAAGACATCGCGTTGGCACTCAACCACGAGCAGACGGCGAAGATGGCGATGTCAATACTGCACGCTAAAAAAAGACCACAAAGATAATTTTACCCTAATTTATTGTAAAGCGTTTATAATAAGTTTAATGATGCGTCAATTTAATAAAGCGTTTATAACGCATGCTTGAGCTCTGTAAATGTATTTACTGCTTTTTGTTTCTCAAGGTCAAACTGTATGTTTAATTTCGCTGTTGCCATGCGCCTTGGTTGTTTACAATAGTTTGGTAATTGCACGACTTAAAGACCGCAATCAAGTCTGTTACCCGCATTTAGCTGAAAAAAACGTAAAACACTCACTACCGTTTTGCTTCTTTAAGCGTAACTATAATACGAAGTAGTCGATGAAATTGTCATCTGCGCAGCCAACGGTGACGAGAGTAGTGGCATATTTTCCGTTCGTGCACCGCTGCTAGAGTGTACTAGAATTCTAGTACACTCTACCGCTGCTACAGCTGCTGCGACGCTTGCCAAGTGAAAACAGCGGACAACGGCCGATCCTTTTATTCAGAATAGCCCAGGTGTTGTTTGCTCGCGGGGGTGGTGCTGGTAGTGGTTAGACGATAAGAAAAGGCACCTAATTTCTGCAACCCGGTCGGGAGCACGGCGCAGTGCCTGCTCGCGGGAGTCAAGTTTGTTTGCCGCAGTTGCTGGCGCTCTGTCGGTTACCAGGAGCACGGGGTGATATAGTGCAGCGCAGTTGACCCGAAACAAGACGCCATTGTTGCAATCCCGATGAAAACAGTGATCAGCTGTCGTCCAGAAGTAATGATCGCTGGCCTTAGGTCAAAATTTCAAAGTTTTGGCCTCACGACTAGTTCTGGAAGTTCCAAGAGCCTGAAGAAGAGTAAAAAAATAGAGGAACAGCCTAAAAGACTCGCGGAAAGAGTTTTCGCTTAGGCTTGGTTTCGTTTCGAACGTTCGCACTTGTGACGCGACAGCATTTGTGTTCCAGCATTTCGACCGTGCACTTGCCAACTCAGTGGGACAATGAAGCTTTTAGAAAGCAGCCGCTTCGAGGCCATCAACTCGGCGTTGTGCTTCGAGACTGGCGATTGCAAGATCGTTGGCAGGTATGTGCAGAGCTCCATGCAGGAACATCCGATAAACGGTTTGGCTAGGGTTACGTCCAGACGTAACTGTAAGCACCGCAATCGTTACGGCTAGACGTAACTATAGCCAGCGCTATTGTTACATCCAGCCGTAATTATAGCCAACAGTGGCGCTACGTCTAGACATGACTACAGCCACTGCTTGCGTTACGTCCACGGTATCCACCATAGTACTACGGTGACAATTGCATCTGCTACGGTAACGTTTGGCACTGCCGCTCGCTGAATTAAGCGGTCAGACGTAACTATAGCCAGCGCTATTGTTACGTCTAGCCGTAACTAGAGCCAACGGTAGCGCTACGTCTAGACATAACCATAGCCACAGCTTGCGTTACGTCCACGGTACCATGGTGACGTTTGCATCTGCTAGAGTTTCATAGAACTTCAACTAATTACAGAGAAGTGTTTCTCTGTAAACAAAAACGATCGCGCACAGTGAGAAATATTTGTCACTGAGGGCCAGTACCCCATTGATTGGCCGACTGCGCTTCTCACTTGCGTAATAGAAACGTTAGGCCGGCTTCGTACTTGTGATGCCAAGGTTGAACTGACCTTAACAGGCGCTAGTTCAACCTTGGCATCACAAGGATTTTGAAATTGCCAACACTTCACGAGATTGTTTATAACGGATAGATGGTGTGGGAAACTGTGGGCGCAAGTTAGCCAGATGAGGACAGAGGACGTTCGAGGACAACAAGAGACTTTTATATATATATACATGAAGACGGACAAGGGGATACACACAACATAAACTCACACATATATACACGCGTTCACTGTCCTACGCGGAAGGGAAGTTAATGTTTTTGTTCGTCCACTCATGTTCTACTCTTGGAGCGTGAACGTTGCGCTTGACCTTGAGCTCTCTCGTAGTCAGGAGGCGGTGTGCCTTGTGCTTGCGGAGTTCGTACCAAGGTGGGGCCCGGCCTAGAAGATAACCGCCAGGGGCATCCCAGTACGGTGGTCAACGCCTGGGCTTGCCTGTACACCACTGAGAACAGCGTAGCGCCCGTCTGCCGCGAACAGACCTGGGACAGCGTCTCGCTCCGAGACCAGAACAGCGGCTGGCCGTGACGAACGTTGCTTCAGACTAACCTGGGGTGAGGTGGGGCGATGCCCAGTCCAGGACGCACCCGAGGACTTCAACGCCGAGACGAGGCCCGGACACGGAGGGTCAGAACGAGCAGTCGGGGCGTGGCCCGAACTTGTCCTTGCGCTCTGCTCTCTGGGGTTAGCCGAGCTGTCCCCGTGGCTCGGGAGGTTTTCACGAGGTACGCGCACGAGCACGCGCATAGGCGAGCTTTATCGTTTCACCGCTATCACCATCATGGTGATTCCCGAGCACCCTGAAATACTAAATCGGCCCCGCACACCGATCACAAATAAATCGGCCCCGCACAACGATTTTCTACGTCAAAGGATGACGCACACTCTCCAGGGCACCGTTTTTCACCACAGATGGAGAAGGCCACAGAACACCTGCATACTACCATTTGATAAGGCTGTACCCGTTACATTGGGCAGCGGCTTACGCTGCTTAGCCGGAATACATTAAATACTAGTACTAGCACTGTGCAGTGAAGGATTAAATTTCACTCAGGCCTTCATTGTAACCACCAATCAATTGACCTCGTCCTGGTTATTCTACCATTTTAAAACTATTTCGCCTGCACTGCCCTAAACCCTGCAGTGCTTTAACAAAATTTCCACCATTATCTAGGACTACAGGTAAATCCCTTTACAGAACAGTATCGTGTCTTTCAGCATCAGCTGTTTCCTCGTCCTCGTCTCCACATCTGCACTACACAATGTGCTTATCCCTTCGTATTTAGCTTGGTAAATCTTGGTCCACAATACTCCCACCTTGGCTTAATACAGCAGAGAACCACCCCAAGAATTATCGTTAATCTTGCTTGAACCTCTGATCTCATGCACAAGACCGCATAGCCAAATGTTAGACGAGGAACCATGATCCCTTTCCAAATCGCTCTCACAACATATTGTACTTATAGTGATTCCACAGTGCCCTATTTTTCCCTGCCCAGCTGCAAACTAGAACTTTTCTACTGGTTAACCTCCCTGCCCCTCACTTTGCCTGTCTCTCTTTCTCATATATATATATATATATATATATTGGGTTATAACACCATGTTCACGTGAAAAAAAATATCTTCAGGAAGACAAACTGGCCCATTGAAATATATATATATATGGAAAGAAGTGTATACTTTAGGGCTTGTTTTATTCGTGTTTGACACAATATTAATGAGATCTAGCAAACAGTAATGCCAAGGAAAGTATAGGGGAAGTTATTAGACCAAATTGTAATGTAAATGTGAAGAAAGAAAAGTGGGTGAAAAGATAAGTTGCGTGGGCACGAACCGAACCTTGAATACATATATATATTCAAGGTTCGGTTCGTGCCCTACTAGATCATCTGCATGCATAAATGCTGATAATGACTCTTTAATGCATTTTCCTTGCTTGAAAAAAAGAGACGCTGATTTCCTTGCTTGAAAAAAAGAGACGCTGAAGCCAAGCCCACCCCCTCTAATTCGGGCTCTGTTCATGTCCAGCTGTAACGATGAACGATGATCAGCTGGTAAAGTTACGTCTGTCGTGTGGTTCACAATATGCACTTGAGTTTGATATTAATTTGGCAGTCTCGAAGGTTTGCTCGTGTGTCACTGGGATTTGCGGTGCGCTTTCGTCACTAACACTCACTATTTTCCTACAGCAAAACTGTATGGCGCTGTCGCAACGCGTTTTTTGCACGCCTATTGGGCAACGGAGGTTATTTTCTTTAAGAAAAAGAAATATTCTAGCAGTGCCCTTAGAACATTAATGCTGCAATGTTTTAAAGAATACTTGTGTAAAAAAAAATATTGCAGAGGGGCTCGAACCAATGACCCCACCTTCCATCTATGTGCTGCCCTAGCCTATTGTGCTAAACTGCCTTTTTATTTTTCTTTAACTGCGCCACAACTGCCGATCGATCTGGAGGGTCTAACAAACCCGTCTTGTGTAGTCACGCTGGACGTTAGCTTTAACATTTTTTATTTTTACGTCTGGGCGTAACTTTAACAACTTCTATTGTTACGTTTAGGCGTAGCTTTTGCGAAAGGTGAAAGTTACGTGCCGGCCGCCGTAACGATAATCAGCTGCTAAAGTTACGTCCGTTGTGTGGTTCTTGAGTTTGATAATCACTTGGCAGTCTCGGAGGTTTGCTCGTGTGTAACTGGGATATTTTCGCTTTTTAGTGCGCTTTAGTCGCTAACACTCACTATTTTGCTACAGCAAAGCTGTACGGCGCTGCAGCAACGCAGTTTTACGTGCCTGCTGGGGCCACGAAGGCTATTTTCTTTAAGAAAAAAATATATATATATATTGTAACAAGTGTGTTCTTCAGAGGAGTCTCAGCAAAAACTCGCCAGGGCAAGCAAGACAGCTGCAGCACAGAAAACAGGAGGCCGAGAGCGCCACGCACGAACATCGTCGTCTTTTCTCTCACTGGCATTGATGTGCACCGGTACAATTTCCTCCTCACACAAAGAGGAGCCGTCCTGGCGACGGCAACTTAAGGAAAAGACGCGATAGGTGGGTCGTAGCAGGGTTTAAGTCGCGTGACGTGAACTGTTTCGCGGCCTCGGCAGCGATGATTGGGCGATGGGTCGACTGGCTTGACGGCGTAGTTTATGGGAGATGTCTGCTCCAGTATGCGGTAAGGGCCTAGGTACCGTGACAAAAGCTTGGTGGAAAGTCTGGGAGTTGTGAACAGGACCCAAAGCCAAACCAGCTTTCTCGGGGAGTAATGCACATCAGACGCAGAGGTGTCATGACGGAATTTTCGGTGCGACTGATCTTGCGTGGTGTACGAGCAAGCCAGTTTTGCGGCATTCTTCAGCGTAAGCAACAGCTTGAGAAATGGGTTTGCCCCGCAGGGGCGCCTGCGCAAGTAGGCGTTTGGTGTGTAGCGACACCACGGACTCGAGCTAACGGGGGAGTTTTGACTCCGTCCCACGCCTAGCCGTGCGTGGCCTTGCCGTGTCCGGGGAAAAGGGGATCCTGGGGGTTGAGCCGACGCTGGGTGATTGGACCTTTAAGGCCCCCCGGCAGAGGCAACACACCCCTTTGGCCCCGGCTTCACGTAGACGGCACCCCTGGGCTGACCCACCCAGGGGAAATCGGCAGTCGCCTTTTCCTATTTCTCTCTCCCTTCGTCTTCGTCTTTCTTACTTTTTTAGCTTTCCTGTCTACTTCTCTCTTCTGCTTACTTCCAATTTTCTCGGCGGCAAGGGTTAACCCTGTGCAAATAGCCTACCTTGGCCTAGGCGCATTGGGTTATAGCAGGGTTGTACGGCTGACGTCTGCAAGCTTTTAGCATCCGCAAACTTGCAGCGTCCCCTCGTTGGGCTCCGTGGTGGGTGGCCGCCAACGGTGCTGAACAACATACAATTAGCATGCAGAAGGCATTCCCTTTACTTAGTGATCGTGCCTCCTCAAAGCGGGTACGCACCGAAGACATCAATTTTTTCATCCGGCCAAGACAAATGTTTCCTCGTTTCCACGTTATACACTGCGAAAAAACTAACAAGCAAGCCAGAACTGTATCCCCCTTCATAGTGGCTAGATGCTTAACCGAAACTCTCGGTGCTGGGTACAAGGTTACCAAAATGGCCAGCGGAGATCTACTCCTTGAGATACGTGACAAAGACCAATTCGATAAACTGAACACCCTCACAACGTTTGGAGACACAGCCATCAGTATTACGCCACACAGGTCCAAGAACTCATCTCGCGGGGTCGTATCGGACGCAGATTTGCTTGACCTGACCGAAGCTGAACTTCTGGAAGGATGGAAGAGCCAGAATGTGACAAACGTACAGCGTATTAAGATAAGAAGAGATCAAAAAGAAATACCAACCAAACACTTAGTACTGACCTTTGCTTCGAGTGATTTG